TGGGAGGTGACCTGGGAGGTGGCCTGGGAGGTGACCTGGGATGTGACCTGGGAGGTGAGACTACCTGAGAGGCTAGTTCGGTGTCGTGCATGCCACCTATTCTTGTGGGCTATTTGCTCATCTTTCGTCATAAACCTCTCTATAAACACATTGTAATGGGTTTCACTTCCTCTGAGTAAATGCTTGTTCCTCATTATGTACTCCACAGCCTCCTCATTGGAGAATTGCACCAGAACAGGTCTATTCTTGCTTTTAATCCCTTGGATTAGATCCTCCATCCAATCGCTCCTTCTCTCTACTAATTTCCCTATTAATTTGTCTATAAATCTGTCCTCCTCCTCATCCCTGCTGGTGATTGACCTTGAACCCCTTCCTGATCTTGTCATTGCAGTAATAACCTAGCCAAAAAGGCGCTCCTCAATACCTTGCACAATCTGCAGCACAAACAGGCGAGAAAGTACTCCACGCGACTGGTCAGGTATGAGGTCCCCACGTCCCTGCGTCACAGCTGGTGAGGTCACTAGTGGTGAGGTCTCTCTGGCTCCACAATTTCACAATACCACGATGCACTCAACACTTATTTTCAGTGGTGCTGTTTCTACTGTTTTTCTTCACTTTCTTGTGGTTTGAGTGAGCTTAGTAGTTATTCAATCACTCATATACACTCATATACGCATATACACTGATTATTCCCCCCAATTCACTAGCTACGCAAGAGCTTCCCAGACCCTTCTGACCTCCGCGGCTGTCTGACCTCAACTGACTGACTGTGTGTGTGTGTGTGTGTATGTGTGTGTGTGTGTGTGTGTGTGTGTGTGTGTGTGTGTGTGTGTGGGTGTGTGTGTGTGTGTATGTATGTGTGTGTGTATGTGTGTGTGTGTGTGTGTGTGTGTGTGTGTGTGTGTGTGTGTGTGTGTGTGTGTGTGTGTGTGTGTGTGTGTGTGTGTGTTTGCCAGTGCCTTCGTGTTCCGGTTGTGATTTCCTGTCTGACTTGGCTTGTAGTATTGCTTGTGTGGCCCTTCAGGCTGCCTTGTTCCTAGTTTTGTATTTATTTTGTACCATGTCATTCTGTGTCTTTTTCATGTTTCCTGTTGTATGTTTCATTGTTTTCCTGTTTGTTTATTTTCTTTTTTGTTCTCATGTGTTTGTGCTCTATGGATCACTGCTTGTGCTGTTTTGGCAAGCTGTTTTTATGTGTATTTAATGTATTTTCCTATGTATTTTTTATTGTTCTTTGGTTCCCCTTTGTGTTATGTTGCTTAGTGTTACTTATTATGTGTTGCTATCATTCTGTGTTCCTTGTTATTCTGTGCTTTACTGTTTTATATGGTTGCATGTACGTTGTTTTACTTTGTTTTAAGAAAAAAAATAACAACCCAATAATCTCTTTTTCTCTCCCCTCTATCTCTCTTCCCCACCAGTCCTAATCATCACCTATACCATGCAATAACCACATAGAACAACATCCTGCAACAATTAAATTAATTGATATAACTGCTCTTCAGCTATATCTTGCTCTTGTTATCCCCCATTTAGATTGTGCAGTTCAGTTTTGGGCACCATACTATAGAATGCATATAAATTCACTTGATCTCTAGTACGCGTCCAGCATAGGATGACGAAGTTAATGCCGAAAATTAGAAACCAGTCATATGAAGAAAGATTGACAAAGCTTAAATTACATTCTCCGGAAAGGCGACAAATTAGGGGTGACATGATAGAGGTGTATAAGTGGATGAATGTACATAACAAAGTTGATATTAATAATATGGTATTAAAAGTATCAAGACAAGACAGAACATGAAAAAATGGGTATAAATTGGATAGGTTTATGTTTAGGAAAGATTTGGGTAAATACTGGTTCGGTAACAAGGTCGTTGATTTGTAGAACCAATTACCGCATAATATAATAGTAGTAGGATCCCTTGATTGTTTCAAGCGTAGGTTAGACATATATATGAATGGGATTAGGTGGATATAAATAGGAGCTGCCTCATATGGGTCAATAGGCCTTCTGCAGTTACCTTCATTCTTATGTTCTTAAAACTGTGCATTTCCAGGTCCTCTGGGTCTGGGAAAGTGATATTAACCTTCCACAAAATGACAGAAGATCCAGACAGGAGTATGACAGAACTAAAATGGCAATAATTACTATAAAAAAAAGCTCAGCTTCTGCCCCCTATAAGAATAGATACCGACTTCAAATCATGGGAAACGTCGAGCATGGAAGGATAGCATGGGTGAACTAAGGTCCACACGGGGGCACAAAAACAGAAATAATTAAACTATTGGACGTGGCAACAAGAAATCCTTTAAGCAAACTTGTCAGGAGACCCTAGGAATGAAAGATAATAGCGAAATAGCTAGACTTTATTAGAAATTCACTCTGAACGGGTCAGAAATAAGGAAAATCGATTTCGAAGCCCCATGGGTATTAATGATCACAGTGTACTGTATTGACGTGTGATTGTCTGGTACAAATAAAGATAACTTACTCATTGAAGGGACCTGAAAACAAAGGAGCAGAATACAGAAGGGGAAATTTTGAGATGCAACAATTCATAATAAAATGGGTAACAGACCACAGAGAAAAAGAAGCTTCACCAAACATGATGGACTGCATCACCCAAAAGTGTCAGGAGGCAATAGATTAGTTCGTCTCGTCCCAATGGGAAAAATATATGGTAAGGAGGAGCCCATGGTTTCATCAGGGATGCAAGGAGGCAACTCAACTAAGTACAAGGGCCTGAAGAATCTTTAAGAAAAACAGAACCCCACAGAGCAGAGGGCCAGGAAGGAGTGCTTCGGTGTCAGAAGGAAAGCAGGCACCCAATCAAATCTAAAATAGGGTAGGACATGCACACTGAGAATGACAAGAAGGTGTGTGAGGAACTCAAAGATATTTCAGATATTCACAATAGAGCAGTGAGAAGTTATTATTAGAGGGAGGGAGGGGGGACGTTAAGAAGCAATGGAGGAATTTGAGATTAATGGTAGAGAACTAAAGAACCATTTCTGGAATTGGACATGGCAAAGGTTGTTAGTAGAGACATAACCACCCTTCTAAAAGAGTTAGTGGAAGTACTGCCTCTCAACATAGAGAGTTGGCACTCTCTATGGAATATAACAGGTCACTCGTAACAAGAGAACTACAAAAAAGTTGGAAGACAGTTAATGTGGAAGGTAGACAGACAAGAGACACTGAACTACAGGTCAATGTTCATAATTTTTATATCATGCAAGATTATGGAGAAGATTATTAGTTAAAAATCAATGGAATATCTGAAGAAAAGAACCTTAGTAACATATCACCAGCGTGGGTTCAGGGACGGTAAATCTTGACCTCACAGGTTTAATAAAAGTACATAACCTGGTGAAAAAATTACACAAGAAAAAAAAGAATGGACAGGCAGCACATTTTTTAACTATCTAAAATCAATTAACACTTGTGAGTGTCAAATCACACACCCCATCTCCCCAACATGCCCCAGGCTACGTCACTGCTAAAACGATACAGAAGAATAGACGAAAAAAACACATTAGAGGACCGCTTGTGTGTTTCATATCCAATAACCCTCCTCCCCCTGACACGAGTGACCTATGTCGTCTGGCGACATTCAGACAACTTTCAAACAGCCGAACCGGGAAATGGGTCCCGTGTAGACTCACGTTTGATAGAAACCCGATTTTTTTAAATCCCGCACGTTTGCTGTCTCCTTTTCTCATACTAACATAATGCTGGCCTACACTGCTGTCGAGTTAACATCATGCTGCTCCACACTCTTGCAGTGTTAACATCACGCCACATCACAGGGCTTTAGTTAACATCATGCTGTACCACTCTTCTGTAATTAAACATCACTAGACCACACTGCTGTAAATTTAACGTCACACCAGACTGCTGTTTCTGTTTATGCAATTCGGTATTTGCAGATCCAGGTTGCTATATTATCTCACTGGACACAAAAGCCATCATATACTTTTTAGAATACTGCCAGTACCTCATATTCCAGTTAAATTAATTTCTCTATCAAATAGTTGTTTAATATTATGTGTAAGATTTTCACGTTTTTGCTGTACGTTGACAAGGAAGAAATATATATTACCATGGTTGGGTCTCCCAGGACGATCTGAGAGCCTGGAGCTGAAGCGGCTCTATTTTCCCTCACCCGCCTGGCCATTACCTCCCTGGTCCAGTAACTTATAATGCCAACATCCTCCAGCCGGTACATCAGTTGGCTGAAGCGACGGTGAAATGGTGCGCCCTTCCTAGAGAATATATAATAACTCGTAAACATGCATTTAATCCCACCCACAAAACACATAACTTTATGTAAACGTCATCCACGACTGGGAAAAAAGGAACTTGCTAAAGTTCAGTTCACAGTTTTATTCCAAAGATTGGTCCACTAAGCAAAGTGAAATTGACAAAGGCACCGGAGGCGTCGATTCTCAGCATTAAATGTGTCTTTTGTAAGTTTTTTTTTACTAATCAGCAGCGTTCGAACCTCAGAAACATACCTAATATAGGGAGGCCGATGGCAGTTAGTCTCAATTACCGTCATAATTACGATACTTCAAAAGTTCCTAAAACACCAGAATTTTGGTGCTGTTGTAACAAATGATGTACATTAAATGAGGGGGAGAGGTTGAGGGGAGAAGCAAGCCACCGGCCTCCCAGCCATGTTGGGAGGTCGGTGGCTGAGTTTACAGCACGCTTGATATGTAGTCATGTGGACGGAAGTTCGATTCCCGGGGCTGGCAGAAACAAATGGGCAGAGTTTCTTTCACCCTGATGCCCCTGTTACCTAGCAGTAAATAGGTACCTAGGAGTTAGACAGCTACTACGGGCTGCTTCCTAGGGGTGTGTGTGTGGGTGTGGAAAAAAATATTTAATAAAAAAAATAGTTAGTAGTTAGTAACAGTTGATTGATAGACAGCTGAGATGCGGGCCGAAAGAGCAGATATCAACCCCCGCTAGCACAACTAGGTAAGCACTAGGTGAATACACAGAGGGTAGTGTGTTTGAGGAAGGTGGTCTAGATCCTCAACAAGTGATTACTAGGTCTTAAAAGGGCATAAACAGCATAGTTATGTGGTGAAATATCAGATGATGAGGCAGGGATCAGAAGGTTGTTATGTGCATGTTGGTCTGGAATGTGCTTAGGCTTATGAAGCGTTTTCTTTACACTAAGCTTAGGCCTAAATCTTTTCAGTGAATATTGTTGTTTGCATCTTCACCTGAATCCCCATCCTGAGACGACGAAGATGGGGATCTCTTCTTTGCCGATGTAGAAGGGAGTGTTACCGAAAGTGTCGGTGTAACTAGAGGCAATGATGACTTTTGCATAGTTCTTGAAGCTGATGAAGGAGTAACCCCCAGCCACCACCTTCTTGAAGGCTTCTTTAACCTGTAATAACTGATATCCAGAGATTTACTCGTTGTTTGTTCAGAAAAAATCATATACGTTATTATATTATATTTAAAGTGATCTTTCCCATTTACTAGTATTCACTCAGAAAATACAAATTTATAAATAATCATATTTATAGATCACAAGTTATTCTAGTGAGATTTAATACTGATGAGACAGAAAAAAATAATATTAAGACTGAGAACCTAATTATACACGTAATGAGAAAAGAACTGTATTAACTAAATTAATAAAAGTAATTAAATACAATTTTTAAAAGTTAGCTTTGATCATCAGCAACAGGCTCTTATTACTTTACATAGAACCTCAACCATTAGCAACACAGTGCATGACTATACGCACTAACCTCCATTTCCTTGTATATTTTTTTGATCAATGGATCGGTATGCTTAGAGAAATATTCCAAGGGAACCCCCGACATGAACCAGTCCTCGCTCCCCCACTTCCAGTTGGGTCTCTCCACCATGTCCCTAAAACCCTCGATGGTCTTAGACCTTCCTTGGATGGTTAGGTGAGCGACCAAGGACGAGGTGTAACCCGTATTGATGACCACACACAACACCAGCCACCAGCCGACCAACACCTGCTCACACACACCACAAGTCACATTAAATGGATCATATCAACGTTACGTAATGCAATGAAGCAATATGTTTCTATCAGCGATTTGGTAATACAGAATTATTATTATTATTATTATTGGAAAGCACGAAACGAAAGTGTCATTAGCTTCCAATGTGGACGCACACCTGTCCAGAGACATTGACGGGTGGTTCTGAAGGAGGGTCGTTTAGGAGCGCGCCCCAGCTGTAGAGGAGGGCAGTAGAAAGCTCGACCCGACGCCCTCCTGCCATCTTCTGCCACGCCCCCTGCAGCAGCCACAGGGTCATGCCCCACGCCACCACGCTTACCAGCAGCATCACCCACAACTTTCCTGTACGTAAGACACGGTATATATTATTCGCTCCTTGGGATTATTTATATTTTAAATTATTAACCCATCGGAATTCAAACTTCTCTTATTCCTATAAATGTTCCAATTGTAATTCTGGGTGTATCGGAGTTTAAATAATTAACTAGAAATAGGTACATGCGAACTATCTTTCCCAGAAAGTTGGTCAGAGAAGACTGACTGACCATATACAAGCTGGTGCCCCAGAAACCATATGCAAAGTGAACATAACACAACGCTCACTAGGAACATGCTAGTGTTTTTATATACCTTATAAATACATGCCTCACCTGTGACAGGAAAAAACATGTTTTTTTCGAAAAACAGCGCCATCAGTTGGACGTTAGAGCAACACATGCTGTAATCTCTGAAAGTTCTTCACCGATTGCTTTCAAATTTTGACACAACGTTCCATTCGAATACAGGCGTGTTTTTATATACCTACTATATAGAAGTCACACCTGGTGACAGGTACAAACGGGCTTCTTTTTAAAAACAGCGCCATCTGTTGCACGTAAGAGCACCACAAGCTCTACTAAATATGTTATGATTCCATTTCAATGTTTCCGATTGTATTGATAAATTGAATTTTCATAGATTTCCATTTAGATTCAAATCTTTTTTATGTGTGGGAACCGACCTGCATGATTTATATTTATTTAATGTATATGAATTTGTATATAATTTATATTACATTAATTTATATATTTCGATAGCAATTTGTATGATGCTTAGTGGACTGTATTTCTGCAATAATCTCACAAATCGTTCCTTACACATAAGGGGGGTTTATATTCAATTTATATATATGCAGCCAATCAAAGTACAGTGTTAAAATACATATACAAGTAAATAAATGTTGAGGCCTTATCTTATTGTATGGTAGGCTTAGTCCACCAGGTATAACTAGGATGTTGACACCAAATAATCCTCGTGTGAGGCTAGCTTCCAACACCCAAGTAACTGATGTACCAAGATTAATTCTTGCTTTCTCTTCTTGTTCCTGTCAAAGGGCACTAGCTGTAAGCCGGAATCCTAATATATGACAGCTATATTAGATGAAACATTTATATATTATTAGATAATAACCAAGGCTTAATTACCTGTGTTTAAACGCTGTTTTTCGTGCTAACCGGTTCGCCCTATATCTTCCTAACATTAACTGGCCAGAAATGATTAGATAAACGGGTTTCGGTAAGAAACTTCCCTTGTTAAGATGTTGACTGCATGTTTATGATGGAAGAAACACTAATTTGATCTCCATAACACTTCGTCCAAGAGAATTGTAGGAGCTGACCTCGCTCCACAACGACTTGGTCTGACAATGGTTGACCTCCCTCACCACTCACGCTCCTGTCTTTCTTGGTCCAGATGTCAATATCTGGTAGAAGGGTCACATTTACTCTATTTTGGTACTGATAATTAAGTTAATTCAAATGAGATGTTTTTATGATGTTATTAGTTCAAAGACTACTGTTTTTAAGATAATTCCCAACAGAATAGCTGGTGAATTTATAACCCTATGTGACAATGATATCTCGTTTTCTATTGATGGAAAATTCCAATACAAGGTACATTTTCTATGGGTTAACTTGTGTATAAAACAGCAGCAATATTATCTGTGTATTGTATTTAATATTAGTAAATGGTGTTGGGTTTTCCATCAGAATGACACTGCATTGGAATTGAGCTGTGTTGTTTACCATACCGTTCATTTCTTGTGTTTAATTTATTTTTTTTATTTTTTCATTGTTTTTAAATTTGTTTTTTTTTATCTTTTTTTCTTATTTTTCATTGATGAGAACACCAGATCATTTGATGGTCCAAATTTTGTAATGGGAACATCAGATCATTTGTGAATACATTGAACGAGAGAGTGGGGAATGGAGGTGAAGACGAGGGGACGGGAGTGGGGTATTATCTGAAGAACGATTGGACAGGGGAGGGGGTAATGGTGGGGAGGACGAGGGGTTGGGGTTGGTGGGGACGACGGGACTGGAAGGGTAATGAAGAATGGGGGCGATTGCAAGGGGACAGGGGAGTGGGCAATTGTGGGGAGAAAGAGGGAACAGGGGAGGGGTGAATGGTAGGAAGGACGAGGGGATGGGGAGTTGGAGATGGTGGGGAAGATGAGGGAATGGAGGAGTGGTGAGATGGTGGGGAGGACGATGAGACAGGGGGGAAATGGTGGAAGACGAATGGACGAGGGGACAGGAGAGTGAGAAATGGTTGGGAGGACAAGGGGACGGGGGAGGGGGGGGGAATAGTGGGAAGGACTGTGAGAAGGGAAAGTTGCTGTGGCTCAGCAACCCAAATGCGTTACTAAGCCACAGCAACGCGTGGCCGGGTACAGCTAGTCTATATAATTAAAAATGAATATGTTCGTTTGTTCAAAATTGCTAATCTCCGAAAGTTCTTCACCGATTGCTTTGAAAATTTGACACAACGTTGCATTCATATAGGAGCGTGTTTTTATATACCTACTATATAGATGCCACCCCTGTGACAGGAAAACTCATGCTTTTTTAAAAAAACGATGCCATCTGTTGGACGTAAGAGCAACACAACCTGTAATCTCCGAAAGTTCTTCACCGATTGCTTTGAAATTTTGACACAACGTTCCATTCGAATACGCGTGTTTTTATATACCTACTATATAGATGTCTCACCTGTGACACCTGTGAATGCGAACAAGCCTGAATGGTCCCCAGGACAATATGCAACTGAAAACTCACACCCCAGAAGTGACTCGAACCCATACTCCCAGAAGCAACGCAACTGGTATGTACAAGACGCCTTAATCCACTTGACCATCACGACCGGACATAATGAGGTGATAGCCGAGGCTATTTGATGGCTATCACCTCATTATGTCCGGTCGTGATGGTCAAGTGGATTAAGGCGTCTTGTACATACCAGTTGCGTTGCTTCTGGGAGTATGGGTTCGAGTCACTTCTGGGGTGTGAGTTTTCAGTTGCATATTGTCCTGGGGACCATTCAGGCTTGTTCGCATTTGTGTTCCTCACGTGTGCCCCAAAGAATGAGGTGATTTGGTAAAATGCTATGCCCAAGATTACTATCCGAGTGCCGGCGGTGGGGTGGTTCAAATAGCCTCGGCTATCACCTCATTATGTCCGGTCGTGATGGTCAAGTGGATTAAGGCGTCTTGTACATACCAGTTGCGTTGCTTCTGGGAGTATGGGTTCGAGTCACTTCTGGGGTGTGAGTTTTCAGTTGCATATTGTCCTGGGGACCATTCAGGCTTGTTCGCATTTGTTTTCCTCACGTGTGCCCCAAAGAATGAGGTGATTTGGTAAAATGCTATGCCCAAGATTACTATCCGAGTGCCGGCGGTGGGGTGGTTCAAATAGCCTCGGCTATCACCTCATTATGTCCGGTCGTGATGGTCAAGTGGATTAAGGCGTCTTGTACATACCAGTTGCGTTGCTTCTGGGAGTATGGGTTCGAGTCACTTCTGGGGTGTGAGTTTTCAATTGCATATTGTCCTGGGGACCATTCAGGCTTGTTCGCATTTGTGTTCCTCACGTGTGCCCCAAAGAATGAGGTGATTTGGTAAAATGCTATGCCCAAGATTACTATCCGAGTGCCGGCGGTGGGGTGGTTCAAATAGCCTCGGCTATCACCTCATTATGTCCGGTCGTGATGGTCAAGTGGATTAAGGCGTCTTGTACATACCAGTTGCGTTGCTTCTGGGAGTATGGGTTCGAGTCACTTCTGGGGTGTGAGTTTTCAGTTGCATATTGTCCTGGGGACCATTCAGGCTTGTTCGCATTTGTTTTCCTCACGTGTGCCCCAAAGAATGAGGTGATTTGGTAAAATGCTATGCCCAAGATTACTATCCGAGTGCCGGCGGTGGGGTGGTTCAAATAGCCTCGGCTATCACCTCATTATGTCCGGTCGTGATGGTCAAGTGGATTAAGGCGTCTTGTACATACCAGTTGCGTTGCTTCTGGGAGTATGGGTTCGAGTCACTTCTGGGGTGTGAGTTTTCAGTTGCATATAGTCCTGGGGACCATTCAGGCTTGTTCGCATTTGTGTTCCTCACGTGTGCCCCAAAGAATGAGGTGATTTGGTAAAATGCTATGCCCAAGATTACTATCCGAGTGCCGGCGGTGGGGTGGTTCAAATAGCCTCGGCTATCACCTCCTTATGTCCGGTCGTGATGGTCAAGTGGATTAAGGCGTCTTGTGTATACCAGTTGTGTTGCTTCTGGGAGTATGGGTTCGAGTCACTTCTGGGGTGTGAGTTTTCAGTTGCATATTGTCCTGGGGACCATTCAGGCTTGTTCGCATTTGTTTTCCTCACGTGTGCCCCAAAGAATGAGGTGATTTGGTAAAATGCTATGCCCAAGATTACTATCCGAGTGCCGGCGGTGGGGTGGTTCAAATAGCCTCGGCTATCACCTCATTATGTCCGGTCGTGATGGTCAAGTGGATTAAGGCGTCTTGTACATACCAGTTGCGTTGCTTCTGGGAGTATGGGTTCGAGTCACTTCTGGGGTGTGAGTTTTCAGTTGCATATTGTCCTGGGGACCATTCAGGCTTGTTCGCATTTGTTTTCCTCACGTGTGCCCCAAAGAATGAGGTGATTTGGTAAAATGCTATGCCCAAGATTACTATCCGAGTGCCGGCGGTGGGATGGTTCAAATAGCCTCGGCTATCACCTCATTATGTCCGGTCGTGATGGTCAAGTGGATTAAGGCGTCTTGTACATACCAGTTGCGTTGCTTCTGGGAGTATGGGTTCGAGTCACTTCTGGGGTGTGAGTTTTCAGTTGCATATTGTCCTGGAGACCATTCAGGCTTGTTCGCATTTGTGTTCCTCACGTGTGCCCCAAAGAATGAGGTGATTTGGTAAAAATGCTATGCCCAAGATTACTATCCGAGTGCCGGTGGTGGGGTGGTTCAAATAGCCTCGGCTATCACCTCATTATGTCCGGTCGTGATGGTCAA